AACATAAATAAATAATATTACGAGAAATGGCATAATTTTATATGTATAAAACCACATAGTTTTATATATCGCTTAATTTTAATTTACCTTCATTTATTGTTAAAAAAGATATATCGGCTAAAGTTTGTTCACATATGGCTTCGCCAGCCCTTTCCCATATCTGAAAAAATGTTGATATTATTTAATAGTRATTTATAGTGTTTTTAAATTAATAATGGTTTACTGTTTACATACTCCTTTATATTTGAAATCATCTGTTTGTGGTGGTGGGTATTTGAAATCTGGTCCAAAGTTTAAAGACAGAGTACAATTTTTGTACAAAGAAACTGTAGGAAAATATTTTCCATCATATATGTCTACAGCACTTTCATTAAAACATTCTCCATTTTTATAATAAATTATTTTACTTCCAATTAATGGTTTCAAGCATTTAAGTGCATCACGACTACTATCTTGAGACTGTTCTTCATAATATAAGTGGCTTTTGAATTTTATCAATATCTAAAAGAGCACATGAAATACCATATTTTAGTACTACTAGGGAAGCCTTTATTAAAGATACTAAATATTTAAAAATAATGTTAAATACCAAATCTTTATGAGTTGGTGGAAGAGATATTGTGTTGGTAGGTAGACATATCATTATGCCTAATGTATCACCTTCACCAAATCCGTTACTATAATGTTTCCCACGACTCTCATGGAATACTGTACCTTTTCTTTAAAAATTAATTCAAAATATTTTAAAACCATTTCATTTTTGATTAACATAAGTTTTTATCATTTTTATCACCTAGATCTCCAYGAATAGCCAAATTTATCATATCCTAAAGGTGCTTGAACATTTGCAAACTCTTGGCTCCATCCAATACGACAAGCCGAGTTATCAGGCATTTCTTCAACTGTGGTCTCCCAATACCAATTTCCACTGGAAACACCTTAAAATTAAATATAATTTATAGGTATATATATTATATATATATTTATTTATGTATGAAAAATAATATAAATYATAACTCACTATGTGTAGCTCGTGCCATACAGTACCCTTTCTCTCCAGTTACAGATAACCTGTCTTCAGAAATATGTAGCTGTGGTGCACGATCATGTAATGCCAACAATACTTGGTTTGGACATAGAGGTCTATATAACCATCCTGGAATCAACTTTCCAGCAGACTCATTAGACTCATCAAATTCTTGTCTAAATGGAGCATGAGGATCTGGTTCAGCTAATATATATTTATAACCATCTTTGTTGAATGGATGTTCAAGAGGATATCCATGAGCAGGCAATTTGACATTTGACTGATCACYAGCACTTCTACCTTTCTTACCACTACCTAATCCACTTGTTCCATCACCAAATGTTTTTCTCTTAGCACCTCGTCCTTTGAGACCAGTCGTGATAGCTATAAAAGTAATAAAAATGCTAATATTATGTAATAAAATATAGTTTTCATTTATTAATCAATTTTTTATGGTATTGGAAAAACAAAACAAAAGTATAGAATTCAAGAGGTAATAATCTACAGTAGAACCCCTCTCGTACGCCCTCGGCTAGTCTGCCTCTCTGGTTGATCTGACCCTAATGTTATTGATATGAATACTATATATGTAATTTAAAAAGTACAATTTGGAATTTCCAATTTATAGTAGATATATACAATTAATTGCTAGTTTAATATTTCCCTTATTAGTCTTAGCTAAGTCTAGAATGTCATTTGCTAAACAAAAATCTATAATTGGCTTTTTTTCTAAGTATTGTAAAATATAATAAATTTCTAATATAATCTGTAAATAAAACTGTTTTGTATATTCTGAAAATCCGACCTTTTTGCGTTCCGACCACACCCCCAGTCCCAAAGGTGATGAATTTAGAGAGGTTCAACTGTACTAAAAATGTTTATAATTAACTACAGTCTGCTACATACAAAACAATAAGGTACTTGTACAACGGATAATACAAACAATTTGAGATAATTAATAAAGACTGTCTTTGGTAGAACATTTGGCATGTTTTTATTTTTATTTTATAAATTAATATTTAATGGAATTTTCTCCTAAAATTATGATTAAATTTCATTACCAGGTAAGTTGCATTAGTTATATTGAAAATTGTACGGTATAAATAGAAATTGGTTGTTAAAGAGATAAAAAATGTATATAAGATAAAATYTTTAGTCACTAGTAGTCATTAGTAATTTCTACATCAAAAACTTGATGTGAATACCTWTAGGCTATATGAAATGTATGAAAATGATATGTGCACATTGCACAGTGACAGGTTTAAACTAGTAAAAATAGCTTACGACTTAAAACTTTATGGTTGATACGCTCTACATTAGTCTTAACTGAAAATTGTGCATGGTTATTTTAATTCAAAGGTTTGGTTATATTTTAAATAACGCCCTAMATGCATTTTGAGCATCTGTTGTGAAAAATAGGTTTTTTTGTACATGAACCTTTATTTTCAATCAATCATTATTTGAAATAGTATATATAATATCATATTAGTAAATCAATTCCACCAAGGCCGGTACAATGTCAGTTAACTTTAATCGGATATTGTAAAAATGGCCTTAAATGATATTATATTGAAGGTTCAACAAAAGCAAATATAAATTGTACAATTGTACAAATTCAACTATACATTAAAATTTTTGTATTTAAATTATAAATTCAATCCTAACTTACTAGGTTGAATTCCAGTTTCTGTAACTTTAAGATGCCCCCCTTTTATCATCGCTTCATAATTTGGTTTGATTTGAGAAATATCAAATAATAGCTTATATGATTGGGAACCATTTTCACCATTTACCACACCAAACAAAATATCTGTTTCCTTAACTAATGATCTTGTAATCTAAAATAAAATTWAAAAAAACATAATTATAATTTATGAGTTAATACCTTTCATGTAAATATGTAATAGATTAGGATACATTTTTTATTGTATCGTTATTTAGTTAGAAATATTAATTACATACTGTTGAATGCCATGATTGTGTAACTCTTCTTGCAGTTGTAGTCATACTCTCCCAGTGTGATTCAATAAAAGGAATAATATCTTTATCCCTCGAGAAATAAACTTGAGGGTTTCCACTTTTAATAGTTTCCTGCATTAGATTTCCAATTGCAGTGACACACATTTGTGGAAACACTAAAATATTTTAAATTAATTAAATAAAGAAAATATTTGTAAAAAAAAAACTTACTTGCAGGATTTTTTTTGAAACTCTCAAGACCAGTGGGTGAACAATTTTTACACACAAATATATAGTTTAACATGAACGGAACCAATTTACCAAGTTGATATCCAATACAGGATTCATGATACCAACGATTACAGTTAGCACATAATAATTCAATAATATTGTAATTCCTTTCTTTATTGCTAAAATAATAYAATAATATTATTTATACTATATTATGATTACATTAATAAATTGATTGACATAATGATTAAATGTTTAGTTTTACAAACAATAATTTAACAGTTTTAAAGAATCAATTTTAAAGTTTATAAATATATAAATTATATTATAATTTTACTAGTGGCATGGCGAAGAGAAAGTAGTTTCTTTAGGGGTGGTGGATTGGAAATGGGTGATTATTTAGTAMTAACTATTCTATTTAAACAGTGAATGGGTTATTGTTGCTGCAAATTGGATGAAATATTATTTGACTAGCCTTTGAAAAATGTCATGTTAACTTACCCAATGAATTTTACTATCTATAGGCAGTGGTTCAAGTGGCTCAAGATAAGTGGAGGGATGCTTAATTTTTTTTAATGTTCTCATATTATTATGGTTTACACACAGAGGTCATTGGAGTTGAACCTTATTATACTTTATTAATAATACAATTTTTTATATATTAATATATTATGTTTTTCAATTTGGTGTCTTTATTGTTGATATATTTACATTTTTTGAATACCTACATACATTTATATTTTTATTTAAAACATATTTGCATGTTTATATNTTTCAATTTGGTGTCTTTATTGTTGATATATTTACATTTTTTGAATACCTACATACATTTATATTTTTATTTAAAACATATTTGCATGTTTATATTATAATAATTTATATCTACATACAGTTTTTAATAGGTTCTAATAGTGTGCAAAATGCATAATACAGTAGATAAATAGAAATTAAAATGAACTATTTTTTATTATTTAAGGGTCTGGCAAAAAAAAAAAAAAACCTGCTGTATTTCAAAAAGCAGTTACATATACAGAAACAGAAATATAGAAAAATTATTTTATTTTTGATTTACAAATACTATGCCATTTTTAGAATGAGTACATCTAAAGATTTCTGTGTATGATTCTTGTTACACTCTTATCAGAAAGTCTCAGGGTAGCTGCATGTTTAACTGCTAAATGCCTAGGAGTTTGTTAGATGAACATCCTCACACGTGCTATTTTAAATCGCAGGAACCACCATTACGAACATAATCCTCTACGACAAATAGCACTTACTAAAAATGGGATGTACACCGCTATCGATTGATACCCCCCTCGTAGTTGTATCAACACCACAACTTACACAGCACAATCTTTAAATAAGGGAGGTTTTTTTGCTGGACCCTGAACATTAGGTATTATAATGTATTCCCTATAATGATATATTAGTAACTTTCAAATTGATGTTAATGATTAATGAGTAATGACAGTTATATTGAAAAACTTAGTATCAATCTATCAAAAAAATAATCAAAGATTGTGATTTTTTTGTATAATAGTTTTGTAGTAATAAAATAGTAATTTATGAGATTTAATTGTACTTTTGGTTGAGTAGTAAATCAAAACAATATAATAAAAGGTACAATTGTAATAACTCAGAAACAAATTATAATATATTTTAACTGAATTTTTATATTAATATTTGTTAACAAAATAAATATTAAGCAATATAAAATAATACCAACTAAATTACATAATAGTCACATTCTTCCAAAATGTGATAGGTACAAAAATCAATTTATTCAATTTTTTTTTGGAACAAAACTATAAACAACTTCATSAATTTGAATTTAAGTTTAAAATAAATTATGTTTAAATGTATTATATTTAGATGTCAAGTGGTTCAATTTAAATGAGTTAAAAATACTTCATTTATATATACAATTTTTATAAAAAAACAAATTTAAATTGATAATCTTTGCATATAATTATTGGGGGATGCGTTATTTTGGACAAAATTAGTGAAAGGATGTCATCCCACTGTATAGGCCTCACTTTAACTACTATAATAGGTAGGTACCTACAAATATTTAAAATTTAAAATGAGAATTTACTATCTGTACAATATTATAATCATAGGCGCAACTAGACCTCTAAAACGTGGGGGGCTATACTATTAAAAACATAAAATTGATGTTATTTCATTATAATTATAATAGTTAGATCTAAAATATCAAGGGGTGCTAAATTAGAACTTGGGGGTGCTAAACACCCTTTTGCACCCCCCTAGTTGCGCCAATGATTATAATCACAAATAATAAATGTGTACAAAATCTGTGATTATAATAGTACTTAATTAAGTTTTATAAATTAATTTTTAGGTAATACACGAAAAGTACAACATAATGAGAAAGTTACTCTTTTATCTAGGTATCTACATTTATATGAAACAAAAAAAAAAGTAAATAAACAGGTAAATACAGATAAAATGATAATAATTTGAATTTAAGTATACAGGGTGATTTTTTAAGCATGCTCGCCCCATTTTTATGCTTAAATTATGCATATATTCAAATTTTGATTTTTGGAATATTTAAGTGTAGTTAAAGGCGATATTTTTGAGTACTTAGATTTTTCACAACTTTTAAGGAGTATCCTGTAGCGATACCAACTTTGGTTTTTCAAATGACAACCTATATGTTTTAAAGCAAAATGTGATTCAGATAATTTTTCTGAAAATTTTGACATATTGCAATCAAAATTCGAACAAAAACTTCCAGAGTTATTCTACTTGAAATACTAAGGAATAAGGATAAAAGTCTAATACTTAAATGCCTACGTTGKAAATGGATACGATAATTATAATTCGGTATACAATATAAAAATAAAATATTTGTTAATAATCACTACTTATTACTAAATGGCCAAATATTGCATCTGACAATTTTCAAAAGAAAAGAAAATATGAATAAAATAATATCCTTTKTATTTTATCCATGTTACCTATACCTTATAGGCAACGTTAATATTTGTATAGCATAGGTATACCTACTTATAATAAAATACCGAACAATAGTGTACAATAGCACAAATGCGAAATATGTAAGTGTATCCATTTACAACGTAGGCATTTAAGTATTAGACTTTTATCCTTATTCCTTAGTATTTCAAGTAGAATAACTCTGGAAGTTTTCGTTCGAATTTTGATTGCAATATGTCAACATTTTCAGAAAAATTATCTGAATCGCATTTTGCTTTAAAACATATAGGTTGTCATTTGAAAAACCAAAGTTGGTATCGCTACAGGATACTCCTTAAAAGTTGTGGAAAATCTAAGTACTCAAAAATATCGCCTTTAACTACACTTAAATATTCCAAAAATCAAAATTTGAATATATGCATAATTTAAGCATAAAAATGGGGCGAGCATGCTTAAAAAATCACCCTGTATATTTCTTAGTTTGATGAATTTGTATTTATAAACAAACTTACCAATAACAGTTAACGGTTTGAACATTATTTTCTGGAATTTTATTTGGTGTAGATTTAGTAGAATTATCTCTGAAATTTTCTTTGGGCACATCATTATCATTAGTTGAGACCATTTCAGTTTCAGTGGATTCAGTAGGAGTTTTTAAATCAGTATTATCATCCATCTTAATCACAGTTTTTACATTTACCTAAACAAATTAAAATTATTACATTTTATTATTATTTATATTTGATAAATATAATCATCAATCAATGGTCAACTGTCATAATTATTCATGGTTATAAGCAGATTTCAGGATTTGTAGCTTTAAAAAACATTAAAACACATAATTGTAAAAGAAAAAAACTAAGAAATGTATACAAATATTCACTAAAATGAAAAAAATAAGCAATTTATAATAATGTATCTAAGCACCTATTTGAAAAAAAATATTAAGTATTTATTTATTTGAAAAACTTAGGAAATATTACCTGGATATAAAATATTGTAGGTACCAGCACAGAGCAGGAACTCTAGGAAGATAAGTGTATAAATTATTGAATTTCAAGCCGTTATAACTTCACTGCACGATGCCGATCGCCGGTGCCATCCGGTGGACGGTTGTGGGCTTGGTGCTCGTTGAGTTGAGGTGACTGCAGACTGAGTGGGACAGTGAGTGACAAACCGACAAAATCACAAACACAAACAACACACTATCATATTATTCATGATAAACTAAATAGGTATGTCCATAGACCTATATGCTATAAGTCTATCATGGGTAATGGGTATGTCAACAACTCGTGATACGCATGTTTGTGACGTAGAATTTTATCAACTTACTGGTTGTACAGAGGTGCAGTTAGAGTCAGAGATCTCTCTAGGTGCAGTCATCGGCGGCGGACCAATGGAGAAACGGTGAAATGCTTCGTCACAGTAAACGTGCTGAGGGCGCGATTTGTATTTTGTATCAAAACCGATCTATTGCTGACATACCAATTTAATTTATCATGTTATTATTGTTCAGTTTTCAGTTCATAAAACAAATATTTGGCCATAGTTCAGTTACTACTCCCTTAGTTGAGTATGTTGAGAATTTGATACCAAAAGGCAAAAAGCTTTAATTAAGCCACAAAACAATCAGAATATAGTGAGTAGTGATAGGTACCACCGTTGTCCGTTCTCTATGCCAGTTTGCCTCATAACCACTACTACCACTACTCAATCGTCGGACACTGAGGGTGCGCAACTTTTAGACAGCTGCGGTCAGCGAGTCAAAATACGTCGTACTCACTACTTATTGATACTGATATACGCAACTATGATCCAACTGTTGTTCAGTTGTGCTGTAGTCCTGCGGAGCCTATGGTTCTCGAGCTCTTCACGTTACCATTATAAATATGAGAAATGAACTCCGGAATGGTTTGACTGAAGTTGTTATTTAGAAATTGAATGCCTTGCGGAGTTATTTTCTCTCAGCGAACAGAGGTCCATCTATGACTAAATATATTTTTTTGGTCATGGGTCCGTCTAATCCTTGGACGTAATAATAAGTATGATCTAAATTCTAAAGGCACTCCAACAAATGGAGCATACAGCCTGTGCCCTGTGGAAATAATCTCAAAGTGACCCACTGACGTTAGACACTTTGACTTGAAAGTGTCACAATGACACAATATTTCATTGCTTTTTTGTTTATATAYAGATAACACTGTGCCTAAAATTTAGAGTTTCGTTCCGAAGGTGACAAAAATGAAAAATTATAAATTATATGGGTACTAGTCGTGTATTTAAGAATTTAAGATTGCCCGTTGTCGTTTGGTACAATGTCATATAAATATATGATATAAATGTTTACATAGTGATAGATGAATAGACGATAGTGTCTCGCTCATATCATAGTCCGTGGTTATGCAGTGTTATGCTACAATATGACGTGGTGATTGCAGCTGATAATAAGCATTAAACTTTTCAACTTTAGTTTTGAGAATGAATAATTTATTAAATATTGATACTTAAGTAACTGACAAAATTACAATTAATATAATTATTATTATTTCTGTAATTTTGTTGTCATTCGTATTAAATTTTTATAGATATTTTTATTCATATTCTGTGGCATTCAAGCTGATTATTTTTTTAAATTTTTATAGATACCTAAAAAATGACGGGTAATGGATAAAATAGATTTTTATGATTCCTTATTTACTTCTCATCTTAAAAAWTATTTTTTTATTTTTACTTTTAGATATAGTGAAACAAGCAGAGTCTTATGAGGCAAACGAATTGTTCGACATCAAAAACTCGTACTACATTGGAAACTACCAACAATGTATTAACGATGCTCAGAAAGAACCGGTATTAGATGTTTTCATAATTTAATATTATATTTTTTACTATTTAAAGTTTGATTATWATTTATAATTTTAGTTAGTTTATAGAGTACACAATTGATTTTTATTGTTTGTTAACCTTAAATTTTTTCCCTTTATAGCCAAACTATGGAAATTTGCGTCTACAACGAGACATATTCATGTACCGTGCTTACTTAGCTCAAAAAAAATATGGTATTGTATTAGCAGAAATTAAACCTAATTCATCTCCAGAATTAAAACCCTTTAAACTGTTAGCTGAGTATTTGCAAACTCCTAGTAATAGGTAAGATTATTTTAATGAAATAAAAATAAAATTTTTTAGAATTTAAAAACTAAACATTATTTTATTTATGTATTAATTTAAATGGAAATCATCTACATTTATAGGACACCATTGTTATGTATGATATTTTATGGAAATAGCAAACTTTTTATTTTTGAAATGTTAACTATTTTTTGTCGTCAATAAAAATGATGAATACTACCTTAACTTAATGGGCTGAACAGTATAAAAATGTCAACAACGATTAAAAAAAAAAAATTGCTAGATAGGATTCAGAGTTGGAGTTGTGGTTTGATTCGCTTATCTGAGCAAATGATTGAAAAGAATTAATAATTATTACACATTTGAATGGTATATCATTGAATTTGAAAATAAATTTTCAAGTCACTTAAAAAATACAAATGTTAAATGTTTATTAAATAATATAATATGTATATTAGAGAAACCTTGAACTAATATCAGGTTTTAGTCAGTAGTAACTATACTCTGTTCCAAAAGAGAATGATCATTCCGGCTGACCGTTTTTCATCAGTGATTGTGCATCTCCTACCAACGACCCGACCCGTAAGTAGGCAGTAATTTGGCCTTTGGAATTGCTGTAGCTATCAGTTGTATGCACGAAAAGTGACCTTCTCTTTTGGAACGTAGTATAAACTTAATACCTGAACTCCAAATTATATTCAGAAAAATAAATTTATTAGTATAATATAATATGGTTTTATGTAATGTATTTATTTTCATTGTACTTCAAGGAATTCTATTTTGAAAACATTGGAAGAAGAATTGGAAAATATGTATGAAATAAATCATTCTCTTGTTATTGTTGCAACAACAATTTATAATCATGAACATAATTATGAATCTGCTCTAAGGATCCTTAAAAATGATGACACACTTGAAGGGTATATATTTTTAAGTATAAAATACAATTTTTTAATTATTTATTGTTAAACTTATTATACTAATTTTAGTTTGACATTGTCTTTGATAATATATTTGAGAATGAATCGAGTAGATTTAGCATCAAAAGAATTAAAAAAGTTAAAAGAAAAGGATGAAGATGCAACATTAACACAAATGGCACAAGCTTGGTTAAACTTAGCATTGGTAAGCATCAAAAAGCTTTAAGAAGTAATGTTAACCCTAACATATAAATGACTTGTCATTTAACTTAAAAATAAAAACAAACAAAAAAAACTAATGTTACACTATTGCCACTATATCATAAATATTTAAATTGAAAATTAATGTTTTTGATTTACTTTATTAAAAATAATACAATATACGCAAATATCTTAGTGGTAATAAATATTATGTTGGTGTTTAGGGTGGAGATAAATTGCAAGAAGCTTATTACATATTTCAAGAATTAACAGACAAATATGGAGTTACTGCTTTGTTGTTGAATTGTCAGTCAGTATGCTATATTGGTCAATGTGAATATAAAAAAGCTGAGATTACATTACAAGATGCTTTAGAAAAAGATATTAATGATATTGATTCCTTAGTAAATTCATTGTTTATTTCTGTCCATACAAAAGTTTCAGCTGATGTAAGTTACTACTACAGATTTATATTTACTATTTAGTAAGTTTTCTTTTTTCTTTGTTGCAGGTTGCTAGAAGACAGTTAAACATGTTGCGAGATGCCTATCCTAATGCTGAGATTGTTGTAAGATATAATAACAAAGAAATTGAATTTGATTCATTGTGCCTAGCATTCCAACAATAATCATCTATTAAAAAGTTATATGTAAACACTCATTTATMAATTTGTATAATCTAAAATATATTTCATTTTGATTTGCTTCAATATATAGGAAGTAATATTTTATAATTTGTAGAAGTATTATATATAAATAAAGTAAAAAAATAATATAATTGAATAAATATAATTTGTTTTATGATATATTATAGTTTTTGGTGTCAAACTGAAAATTAGTTAGTGTCTACAAATTAATCTGAATGAGTGATAAATGTTTCTTTAAATTAATTTTCTGACTAATTATGCTGTTCTTTAATTGTGATTGTAACACTATTATAGTAATTAAGTTAAATTTATATAATTAACATAAATTATACATAAAAACCCAAATGTATATCGTCTATTCGTCTCATATTCGTTCTGTATTATGGAGCCTCATCATTTGTGTATAAATATTTTTGAAATTAAATTAATAATCTTTTAGCTTTTTTTTTTTCCAATTAGAACCGACAGCAGAGGAGTATCTGTTTGTACAATACTACTCCTCTGCTCCCATAGTTTATTGATGAAAGAAAACATTTTGATCATACAAAAAAAACCTAAGAATACATAGCATGAATTAGTAACATATATGATATATAATATAGATATATTTTCTCGGCCTGGTGTCGCACGCACCCGCCAGCCTGGAATCTYGTTCTCGTTCTACTGTTTACCCGGAKAGTGCTCAGTCATTTGGAGCAGCTCTTTCTTCATTATCGGYTAGCCTTGCATCGTGCTACTTGCAGTTAAGTATCTCTTCAACCATGTCGTAGAAGGCCTGTGTGGCACGCTGCGAGGCAGCCTCGTATACCATCGTTCATGCAGATCAGGACGTCAGTGGGACCACACAGCAGATCCTGTACGTCAGTTGGAGCGACGTTTCGGTTGCCTATGAAAACCTTCACTACCAGCTGAATTGGTTCTCAGTGAAGGAAATAAAAAATTGTGTGTTCAGCAGTATCCATCGAATGCTGAYAGTAGGGGCAAGTCACATCGGGGGCGCGATTCCTCCGGTGCAAATGGTATCTGAAGCACCCATCTCCTGTAAGAGTCTGCGTTACGCGAAACGTGAGATCTTTGGACGTCTTCTCACCCATCTTATCAAGTCCGGGAGGATCTTACGAGTCCAGGCTGCGTTCCTATTGTGCCTCCACCTACTGGACCAGTCTGCAAGCAGGATATCACGCTCACCTTTCCGGATCTCCTAATTGGAGACAATAATCTTTTAGCATGTTACATTTACATGAACCAAAGCAGTCTCGTTTTATTCCATGTTATCAGGTCTCAGTAAAGTAATATATTATATATTATACATTATGTAGGTAAAATATATATGTATAGGTATTGGAAACCATAAATTTAAACAAAAATTCATAGTAGGTAGTAGATTTCTTATAAATCTACACTAGTATTAATCTGTTAAAATTTTATCACACAATTTAAATTATAATTATTAACTATGATAATAGACATAATAGTTATGAAGAAACTAATACTGGCACACAATAAATGAAATTCAATGAAATATTGAAATTTCATCTATTCTGTTGTACCTATTGGTACATTTTCAAGTATTTTAACTATAGAAAATGTCAAATGTCATTATATAGCTTAAAAATAGTTAAATTATATTTTGTAAGTAGGTAATTGGTATCATATAACTMTAGAAAATGCTTGTATACGTTTTTGTGGAAATGTCTATAGTAGGTACATATCTACATATCTACGGTTGATTGTTTTTGTATTTATATAGATATATTAATAATTTAATAATCATTGATAATAATAAAACATGAGGTAGATTTAGTAATGTACCTAGTAGACGTCTGTGAGTAAAAGTGTAGAATAACCTATTTTAGGGGCCCAAAATAAATAAACAGGACACAATTATTTCTACATTTTTTAGTTGAGTAAAATTTAATATTTTTGATTTGCTGCTCATTTTAATTTATTTAGTAGTAAAATAWATTGGCGATAATATAAAAAATAAATTATTTATAAAATAATAATTTTAAATATGATATGATTAAATGGCCTAGGGGCTAGGACTTTTCTGATTTAAAATCACAAAATTATCAATTACATATTTACATTTTGAAAATGAATTTTCTTTAAAATTTCACACTCAAGCACATTATTGCAAGTTGATTAAGTTTTTCTGCGTCCATAAAATATCACTTCCTACTTACCTACTGCAGTCTGTGATCATAAGAATAAAATAAATATTAAGAACTATTTCAACATTAGGAAAATAATCTTTTACTATCTACTTTATTTAATGCATTAAAATATGTTTCTGGTTAAAAAAGTAAACT